TAAACTTTTCTTGTTCACAATCTACCTGGGGACAATTTTGTTTTCATTTATGTTTTAAAAACAGGCAGGTAAATCGTGAGCGGGGAGTTTGGCAGGCGGGGACTCTTCCCCACCAATGTCTTCTAGAATAAACTAAGGATGGATGGAAGTTCTGGAGGGAACTAAGGATGGGTGACAGGTTTCAGAGTGGTAGCCGTGTTAGTCTGTATCAGCAAAAACAATGAAGAGTCCTTGTGGCACCTTAGAGACTAACAAATTTATTTGGGCATAAGCTTTTGTGGGCTAAAATCCACTTCATCAGATGCGTGGAGTGAAAAATACAGTAAGCAGCATATATATTACAGCACATGAAAAGATGGGAGTTGCCTTACCAAGTGTGGGGAGGGGGTCCAGTGCTAACGAGGCCAATTCAATCAAGGTGGAAGTGGCCTATTCTCAACAGTTGACAAGAAGGGGTGAATATCAACAGAGGGAAAATTACTTTTTGTAGTGCTAACGAGGCCAATTCAATCAGTGGCGTCTTTTGCTAATTGGAGCCTAGAGAAAAGTCTGAGAAGCTGTCTCCACTCTTCCTCATGTCTGGCTGGGAAGTGCATCCAGTAGCCTACACGTGCATCCGGTTTAGTTGTCATGGGGCAAATGCACAAGGCAGCAGCATTAATGTGTTTGCAGCTGCTGGAGCTCCCTGCACTTGCACGGAGGTCACTTCCAGCAGCAGGCAGGGTTGTTAGCACAGGACTACCAGACAGAGAGATGCAGCCTGACTTACCTGGGAAACTTAGTCAAATCCCCACACTGGACATTTGATTCCTTCCCACTTCGGTGTCAGTTTCCAGAGTCCAATTTGATGCATTTTCATGATAACGTTTAGATGAATTTAGTCATGAAGACTTCCCTTAGCATTACCTCACCCACCTTGTCACTCTGAGTATTAACAACAGTTACACTGCTACAACTGTATGTGCTGAGCTTTAAAGATTCCCTCCCTCCAGTGCCTAGTCTGTCTTTCAATGTTTACAG